TAGAATTTTATTTTTCATTCACTAAGCTCACACCACAATCCACTATTTCAAAATCTTTCTCTAGGTTTCATTCACCCTTTTCTATTTAAGTTTCCAACAGATAACTCCCTGAGGAATCGACCTAGGACTTCACTGATAGCTATTACCACTTGACCACTTATACTTGGGTGTGTATCATAGAATATAAGTCAATATGGTATCAAAGAACTCAAACGCCTCCTCTTGACTTTTTCCCATGAACTCCCCTTGAGTTATCATCTCAACAAATTGACGTAATTGAGTGGGGAGAGAATCATAGAAAAATCTTACCAGAGTCTAACTCTCAAATGCATGGTGGGAGCAAACTTGAAGAAGATCTTTAAATCTCTCCCAATATTGATAGAATGTTTCTCTCTCTACAACCCAAAAGTTCATCATTTTCCTTTTAAGTGTATTCATGTAGTGTAAAGGGAAAAATTTCTTAAAAAACTCGCTTTGTAACGCTTGCCAATTTTGTATGGTGTGGGCTTTTAAAGAATTTAGTCATTGTTTAGCTTTATCTTTTAAAGAGAAAGGAAAAAGTTTCAACTTGGCCAGTTCAGAATTGTCTTAGAACTTCCCACATACCTCCTTGAATTCTTTCACGTAAAAGTATGAATTCTCATATTTGAGTCCATGAAATTGAGGGAGTAACTATAGTACACATTGAAGTTAGGTTCAGTGCAGGAAACACAAAGCAAGAGGGGACACCATTTTGTGTAGAATGTAAATACTCTCGTAGAGTTTGCACATTAGGAATTACATCCACATCTCCTTGATTATTAGCCACACTATTACCAAAGGAGTCTACTACCAATCATGGTGTAGAAGGTTTTGGATTGGTTTGTAGACCCGACTGATTATTCTAGAAAATCTTCTAAGAGAAGGGTTTCCTCAAACATAAAAATAGTTATATAGAGAAAAAAATATATATGCAGAAGAGTAAAGGTTTCTTCACTTTTTAATTCGAAATACCGTTGGTTCCTTGCCAACGGTGCCAAAAACTTGACTTATTCTAAAATTGTACACCCAAGTACAGGCGGTCAAGTTGTAGTGTTAATCCAGTTAAGTCCGGAGTTGAGCCCATAGGGAACTAATGTTGATGTTCGAAGTCAAGATTAATAGACACGAAGGTGAATGTAAACCTTGAAGTTAGAAGTTGTGGTGGTGGTGATGATATTTTCTAAACAAAATAGAAGATTATTTAAATGAAAATAAAATTCACTCTTTAGTTTGAGGATTCGAACATGTGCGGATGTGTTTGGGTGCTATATTTGTGCAATATTCATTACTCAATTAACCCCTACGTCAATAGCAATTTAACTAGAAGATAAAGATTGAATGTGTGAATTAAGTGCATAGCTCCGATGTCTTGTAAAAAATCATAAGAATTTCTTATACCGAAACTTAACCCATCTATAAAAAGTCCAATAATTCTACAAAGCATCTAGCATTAGTTAAGTTATTCAACAATAAGTTAAGGCACAATATAAATGAAGATTGAAAGATTGTCATGAAGATCTAGTTTGGGTACTTGTAGAGAATCTTTAGAACCAGCTATTTCAAGACTCTACTTGTCTACAAGTGATCAACAATTGTACAAAACACTTTAGCTTTTATAGATGCATTCAATCTTTCACCATATAAAGGAAAAGATAAGACAATAAGCATAAATGTTTTGCACAAACATAATTTTTGAAGAATACTTCAGCAAAAAAATGAGTAGATGAGCTTAGAATTACAAAGGTAAAATTACAAAAAAAAAACATATTGCTTAACTCCAACAAGAAATGAGTGAAATACTACACACCCTTCAAAGCCACAAGAGACCTAAAAAGGTGAGATAAATTCACTCCTATTTGTGAAGGAGAATGCTACACAACGAAAGCTAATGGAAGTAATACTAGAAGAGTAGAAAAAAAACTAGTTAATTTGGAGGGTTTCTTCCACTTTCAAAGTTTTTTTATTCTTTTTGCTTCAAGAGGATGGGGGTATTTATAGGGGGGGAGAACACAAAATCCATTTTAAGAAGTCAAAGTCGGAAAGTTACTGTCTGGCAAGGGTGTCCAGACGTTATGGGAGCATCTAGATAGTGTTTGAAAATGACAACCTTGCAAAAATGGTTTTGGCAACTGCTTGTCTGATCTTGGTTTGATTTTCTTTGACTTTGGAGCGGCATCCAAACGGTATAGGGGCATCTGGACGGTGGCTATCTTCTAGAAGGTCTTTGAATTTGAATTTCCTGGTCATTCCCTGCACATTTTTTCCCTCCAATCTTTGGAAAATCACCTTTTAACCCATGAAATTCATGTTGTTCTGTAATCCATCCTATACTATTACAAATCATATAATTCACATCAATTTTAACATGAATCATAAATAATTAACCCATACAATGCATTGAAAAGTGTAACTTTTTAGGGTTGATCAGAATAATTGCACCTTTTCTACACAGTTGGCGATGAATCATCAGAGGAAATTGGTTTGACCAATTAGACACTATAGCACATTCTTGGTCTTCAGAGCTGTAATCTCTATGATAGCCTTCGTCCTATTCTTGTCCACATCAATTCTATTCTTGTGAACCAAAAATCCCAAAAAATTACCTATTGTGACCCCAAATGCACACTTCAACGGACTTCAATTGATGAACACACATCCTCTCAAAAACAGCCCTCAAATTGCCAAGGTGTCTTTCCATATCATGTGTCTTGATGATGAGGTCGTCAAATATAAACATCTATAATTATGTTGATTGTGTCGTGAAAGATGGTGTTCTTGGTTCGTTGGTATGTTCTCGCTGCATTCTTCAATCCGAACGCCATAACCCTCTATTCAAACGTCCTTATTGATTCTAGACATCGAAAGGCAATCTTGTGTCTATCTTCCTTAGCAATGAAAATCTGATGACACCCAGCATTTATCATCCATGAAGGACATGATGATGTTCATAGCTGTTGCATCGACTAGTTGATTGGCTATTGGCATAGCATATTCATCCTTCGGAGTTGCTGCGTTGAGGTGTTGGCAGTCACGACATACCCTAATTTTGTCATTCTTTCTCTTCAGTAGAACCTTGTTGAATACCCATTCCACGTATTGCACCACTTGGATGCATTTGGCTTACAAAAGATGTTTGATTTCTTCCTTGACCAACAAGATCACCTCTTGGGACATCAGCCTCGGGACTTGTTTAATCGGCTTGTATCTATCCCTGATTGGTAATTGATGTTCCACTAAGGCAGGATCTAGCCCTGTCATCTCTTCGTAGCTCTAGGCAAAACAATCCCGTTACTCACTTTGTAGTTGTATGAGTCGTGCTTGGAAATTTGGCTCTAGCACTTTACTGAAGAACATTGGTCTATGCTTCTCTAGCCCTCCAATGTTGACTTCAAGTAAAGGATCCTAAACCTCAATGAGGTTGTCAAGCTTATAACCACGGAAAATTTTCAGTACTAATTACTTGTTCTCCACATCCATTAATCCAAATTCTTTTCCCCTTTATTATACTTTCATGCAGATGCCATATTTGAAGCACAATAATAAAGTTAAGGCGGAGAGTATTGATTTCATTAAATATATTGACAGTAACTTTGAATGACCTTCGTTTTTCCCTCATGAAAGATTTGGAGACTCTCATTCTATCACAATCTTTATGTATACTTTGCAAATGTAAGATCCTTCGAAGAGAGAGTTTGCTGAGGACTTTCTGTCATACACTGACTCATTCAATAGAGTCGTGATTGCTTCAGTCAAGCAAAAAGGAATAGATGAAGCAGGTGAGCTGAATACTTTTTGATGTTGAATTGTGAATTTTAAAACAAATTGGTGTAATAGTGGTGAGGAACTGCTTTAGGAGTTGCATTTGATTTCTTGGCCAGTTCAGTCTAATAAGTGAAAACCTTGCATCTGTTCTCTCCATACCTAAGTTAAGCATTCAGGATTTAATTATCATCACTTTTTTGTCACAAGATTCTGCATTCACTGCTTATTTGAAGTAGTAAGATTAGGTGAAATTATGTTAAGTCATTGAATATGTTTCGATGCCTCTAATCCGCAAGTGCATCTGTGACCTTCGAGTGGATGAAGTTTATGTGTCATTCATTGAAAGGTTTCAACTATTCTTAATGGATGTGAAGAAGTATGACATTGCAATTGGCAACCCGGATTGAGGTACTACATGATTACTTATTCCTTGCGTGACTGTCAGTAAATCTAGGTTTCCTTTGAATCATCCATGTATATATATAAGTCTAATTCAGTAATGGCTCTAAATAAGGCTGCCTAGGGAATAGAGGATTGTCTAGTAAGTGACATGAAACTTACTTGACTTGATTGTTCAAGCAGATCACACTAGACAATCATAAAATGAGTACATATTTTGGAACTCGAACACGTAAACACATATTTCAGAACTCAAAAATTGTAAAATCGATTCAATCCTGCACACAAATATATGTGTGTAGACAGAATCACATGTTAAATTGAGGAAAATTACTTACCTATGACGATTATCGATTGGACGAAATCAACAAATAGGATGAGCAGCTGATTTTTTGCTCCTTCTCTGTAGCCTCTAGATTCTACCGACAGGTATATGAGGTAAGGTTTTTTAATGTAAATAATTAATTAGTTTAAGGCTAAAAAATAATATATATTTTTACATAACATGACTTTCATTTTCCCATTTTTCTGCCCAATTTTGGGAGGGCTAATTTTTTAGATTACGAAGAAAACTTATACATCTATTTTTCCTTTATTCCTTACCATATTTTGTGTATTCTTCCAACACCTTCATTCTCCACGTTTTCATAGTACCAGACCAAACAAAGCATTAGGATTGACAACTCTTAGTGTGGCTGCATTCATTGAATACTTGAGCAATAAAGTTAGGAGCCTTGTAAGCTGAGAAAACTATCGAAGTAGCTATAGGGTAAAAATGACTTGCTGGTCTCTCAAATATAAGTACTCAACAGTTTTTTTTAAAAACAAAATGGAATTAGTACACACGAGCCATCTAGTGAAAGAACAACAGAAGTTACAGTTAAAAACGCCAAAGCCAAGGGTGAGTGCCCTTCAGGGGAAGCATAAGCAGGACCAGCAGCAGCAACACCGGAACCGGAACCGGAACCAGAACCAGAACCAGAATCAAAAGGTGTTTTCGGGCTATGGCCGGTAGGCGCAGAAGGATTGGATGCTGGAGAAAGGGCTGGAGAAGGGGTCGGTGGTGGGGAAATAGGGAGTGCTATCTGAATACTAAAATTGCAATTTGCTTGAGATATATTCTTAGTGGTAACTATGGCCAGATCCTGGAAATCGCAACTCCCATCCACCTGATTCTGGGCCTGGAAGTAGGCATTGAATGCATAAGAAACATTCGCATTATATGTCAAGCCATTACAGGATGACCCATTGCTGAGAGCTGTGCAATCTGCAAATGTGCAAGCATACTTAACTTTTTCTTCAATTATGGTGAAATTATGGGCCTCTGGTTTAAGCATGCACCATTTCTTAGGAAGATAAGTCACGTTCCGTGCTGGCATGAGCATACTCTTGTTCCGACCAGAAAGATCAAGAGGGAACTTGGGTTGCCCATCGTACCCAAAGATACCCCAATGACGCTCAAAATTCCCAGGAAGAATACTCTTAGCATCCTCATCAAAAAGTGCAAACAAGTAAACTTCTATATATCCAGGACGCAGTGGAGTGCCTTTACTGGCTGCAAGTCTTGGTAAAAGGCCATTGTAAAACCTTGAAGCTAACTTCATATTGGCATTCTTGTCCCCATCCGTAGGCCATCCGATCTCACCAACCATAATGGTCATGGTGCCGAAGCCTTCAGCTTTCAAGGCCGAAACCAAGGTGTCTAGGTTGGCATCGAAAACATTGGTATATACTACCCCATTATCGACAAGGGGATTGTTCACACCATCGAAGAAGGCATAGTCGAAAGGGAATTGGCCATTGCCGTAGTAAAGACTGAGGAAAGGGTACACATTCACGACGAAGGGCGCCTTGTTCTTGTTTAGGAACTGGACAATCTTGATCACTTGTTCACTGATGTCTGGCCGGAACTGCCCGGCCGAGGGGACGGGATTGGAGTCCGGCGAAAAGTAAACATCTGCGTTTAAGGGAATGATTGCCTTTGTAGTGTCTCCAATCCCAGCTTCATTGAGTGCGTTTTGGACGTTCTGAAGAGCCGGGAAGGTTACATTCACCAAGGAACCGTTGAAATCCTTAAGGAAAGGCTCGTTGCCGACTGCCACGAATCTGCTCATAGAGATGCATGATTATGAAAAAAATATTCATTACAGTGACAGTGTGTGCCAATATTGACGTAGCACGATCAATTAATAATATCAAAATAAATAAGTAAATAAACATCACAAAAATAATAATCAACACTCCATATAAACAAATAATTTTTCACTCTTCTTTCATGTAACTCAATAACTACTTAAGTGTGGTTCATCTTATCAACTTAATGTTTTATTATTAGTTGATTATACCACGTCAATATTACTAATATAATATCACCGTTGCATTGATTATGAGAGTAGATTAATTATCCTCTACTGTGGGTTTTTTTTTCCTCCTTTCGAGGGTCCACAATTTAGATGATTCAAAGATATATTCTCTCTTCCTTGCAATTTCTCAGCTATCAAATAACCTTATTTATTAATTCAAATTCTCTCCATTACCCATTCGCTCCAATTTACCTCAGTGGCCTATCCGATGAGTGACACGTCAAAAAAAATTATTTCAACAGACACATCCCCAATCAACAATTCCATGGCATCTTCTTCTGATTCATTCCATGTGTTTACCGGTGTTTCTAGGTCTCTGATTCTAGTTCATGTGTTATATGTTAGTTTTGTGCTGAAATTGACGTTCGTCCAAGATAGTCTAATGAATTTTGTGCTTGTGTTGGTGTATTTTTGGATTGCAAGCATGCCAAAGTCCAATTAGATTTTAGCTTTAAGGTGTACATTCTAAAATTATGACTGTTTAGGCGATTGTAACAAGGTGTAAGATTACCTCTGAATATTTTTCTATACCTTAGAGTTTAAGGACTTTAAATAATTTTTCAACTAACAGTGCAATGGATTGAAATGTAAAAAAGACAATTGAAATGCAAAGTAGCAAGTAGCGATGAAAACAAGTAATGTACTTAACATTAAATAAAAGCAGCAAAAGATCACCAGAGTGATGGATTACAATAAAAGCAAAGTTGCTTAGGAGCAAAGAGAAATAAGTATAAGGTAGGCTGGCTAGCTCTGTGTAGAATTTGTTGTGTTTAATAGTGTATCCTTTCTTTATGGCCTGACCTTTGTTATTTATAGGGATGACCTTCAATCATCGAAGCCATATTTTTTAGTCACGACAGTAATCATGGCTTTTCCCTCGAGATATGCAGACATGCGCTGAACGGTCTCCTACTGACAACTCATGATGTCACGTCTCCTCACTTCCCGAAATTCTTAGAGTCATACTCCCCTAACTGCTCTGTCAACCATGGTCTCTCACATACTCTTTCATCACCGTTGGATCTTTTCTATGTGTCACCCTCTAATTTTAATATTTTTGTGTGTAAACAGTGCAATTATTGGAAAGCTATCTTGCTCATGATATGTTTGAAAAAAGTCTAAAATGAATGGACCTCAATCGCCAAAAATGGAGACGAAATGTTGTATATTAGAGAGTGAAATATTAATAGGAGTGCTTGAAGACAAACTTTGGGACATTGAATGGACCTCAATCGCCAAAAATGGAGATGAAATCCAAGCGACTAATATTAAAAATTTAATGAACAAGAATGGAAAAGATGAATATTTTGATGAAGATCAAAGATTTTCTTGACAAAATAAACCTAATCTGATGTCAAATATGTAGGAGATTTCAGTGCCAAAAATTGCATCTAACATTATGGCCTTAGTTTGTTTTGACGTGAGAATGTGAAGTAAAATTTGATCAGGGACTCTGGTTTATTAAAAAGAATCTTAGTTGTCTAAATAATTTCTTGTAACGTGTTACTCATCGAATAGACAGGTAAATTAGAGGGAAAGGGTAAAGGATGGGATAAATCCGTCATTTACTACACAACAAAATTACATTAAGAGTGCAAAAAGGAAAATCTCTATGCCATTATGTAAAATTGGGGGAAAAAGAAACCTTGGATTAAGAAAGCAATATTAGAATGAAGGGAGGAATTGGATGGAGATATTGTTATAACAAATTTCAAAGTGATTCCCTATTTATCCACATGAAAAGAATAATTCTAGTACATATAATTTAATAATTAAACTAAATAATGAATAAATTTATGAAGACAGTAACCATACAATAAACTAGTTTTGACAGTAGTAAATGATATATGGTGGATGCATGTTATATAACTATTGACACATGTATAAAACTAAACTAATAATTAAAAAAATGCAATTAAACACAATATAAAACAATGAAAACAATTAAGAAATAGCTAGCTTATAAAGACCTGTGAGGCACGTTGAAACACTGTCCTAAAACAACTAAGTCTCTCTATGTAAAGATATTAGTAAACTGCAACATCTCTAAAATTCAATTGAGACTCAAAGTCAACAACTTATCAGTGTTCCCATGCACCGAAGAGTGGAGAATGATAGAGTTAAAGTCAATATGGTATCAATGAAGTCATATGTCTCCTCTGGATTTTTTCCCATGAACTCCCCTTGAAGCATCAACTCAACAAATTGACGTAATCGAGTGACAGATAATCATAGAAAGATCCTATCAAAGTCTAACTCCTAAATGCATAGTGGGGGCAAACTTAAAGAAGATCCTTAAATCTTGTTAGGATTCTCATACACTAAAGAGTGGGGAATGAATTGGACTATAATTGAGTTGACCAAAAATTGATATAATTAAAATCCTAAAAATAATAGAGAAGAAAAAATAATTATGTGAAGAACAAATGATACAAGAGAACTAAAAGTTGCTGGCTGTTTTTTATCTCACAAAAACACCCATTAACCGCCGTGATGTAGGTAATGGGTTTGCCAAACCGCTGGGAACAAAAGGCGGTTGACAAAGTGCCATTGCGGAGGAATTTTTCTTTTCTGTACAGTTGACCGTTGCAACATCAAATAGCAATAGAAAGAACACAATTGTTCGGACATTTCAGATGCAACGGTTTGGACTGCTAAAATGAATTGCAATTGTTTGAAAAGTCAAATTTGAACTCAAGTTTACAGGTCCTATACCAAACCGTCATATCTCATGGAAAATTCTTTCACGTATGCATGATATAAAATAATCCATAAAATAATCAAATATATTTAAAGTAATATTATTTGAACTTAAAATTTTGTCTTATTTTATTGATCTAATGACGTAATTTTATTGAAATTATTGAATCAACATTAACTTTTAAAATTTAATATGATCTGCAGTTAATTTAAATATTATAGTTAATTATATCAATAAATTAAATCATTAAATTAGGTTCAATAAAATTGAGAAAGATAAAATATAGAACTGTTTAATTTATTCCAACATATATTTGCAAAGTTCTGGAATCCGTAGCGTGGAACACATTGGAAAATGGAAACAAAACTAACTGAACCAATAAACAAGTCACATCAGCTCTTTGCCGGATTTCATATCTAGTACTACATTTTACATTAGTATGATAATCCTCCATGGAAGCCGCTTGGTTATTCATGCATTGATGCGTATGCAAAAATCAACTAATCACGAATATACAACGATGCTTTATCTAAGCAAAGCAATACGATTCTCCAGATATATAGCGCGAGTATTCAGATTTGAGGCTGGAATATTGCAAACCCATTTATGTCATTAATCACTTAGGGAGCACGATGAACGGAAGAGAACCAGAAATCTTACGTAATGTTAACACCTTTACTGGATTTGGGATTGTAACGAGTAACATTTTGCTCTACAAAATCCTTGGCTTTGCCATAATTGTTGAGAACCACTAGCTGATCATTGGCAATTGCCACCATGACTTCAATCCCGGAACCAGCCAGAGCACTTAAGATCTTGTTGTCGAAACCAAAAAGCTTCACCTTCTGAATACCATTGTCTTTCAACATCTGGAGCACTACTTTAGGCGTCAGTTTGTGGGTTGCTACCGTACCCCAGTTCACACCAAGACCTTCAACCTGTACACAGGCATTCAGAAGCCCCACGAATAATAAAACATAGCAGAAAAGCCGCACCATTCTTGACATTTTTGAGTAAAAAAACCAGGAAAATAATCAAGTGGCCAATCTCAATGGAAGAGAACAAACAGCCCTTCCTCAGACTTGTGGGGAGATTTTTCCAAAGTGAGAAAAAGACGTATTCTATAAGAAAGAAAGTACGCACTTAAGGAAAATAGTTGCCATGTTCTTGGCAAAGTACTTTTTACAATGGTTTAGTGTTTTCTGTTTTGGGATGTCTTAAAAGGTTTCAGGTTGAACCCTTCAAAACCTGCCATTTATGGAGTAGCTTTGAACAGTATCAATGTAACGGTCAAACGTCATATTGATTGGATGGTAATGTAGTTCAGAATACACCCTAATTTAAGAAGAATGCTTGGATGGATGTACAATGACGATAGAAAATATGAGTTGAATGGCGGGGACGGGTGTCCTCGTAAAACGGGGAATTTCAATGAGAAAGAAACATCATCACATCAATAAAGAAATAAAACATTGAGAAATAACAGTGTAGAAAATTATCATTATGTTTGGTTAGCATCTGTAAAATAATTTTTTATTTTTAAAATTTTAAAAAATTCAAAATCTATTTATTTAATATTTTTGTTCTCAAAATTTTTAAAAAAATAAGATTTAAAACACAAAAACTAAGAACAACCCAGGTTGTTTTCTGAAAATTTCCTTCTAAATTTTGAAAAAAGAGTACTGTTTATTAATGGACTGAGTATAAAATGTGCTTTTTTTTTTGGTAGCCTCTCACGTCATTTGTCCTGCTCAGCCATCTTCTTCACTTCACTTGAGCTCTGTGCGAAGAACAAACGCCACATCCAGCGAATCAACGGCGTTACTCCAACGAATCACAGGCGTTTCTCCGGCTACAGGTCAGCCATAGATATGTTTTTTTGCATTGATTTTTTAATTTGTTAGATTTGTTTGTTTTTTTCGTTTTTACCTTTAGATCTATAACAGATATATTGTCTAACAACTCCGACAAACCGATTATGATGTTTCAGTATATCAGATCTCCGGTGACTCTGTTTGTCTGATATACCGGTGACAGATCTGGTTTTTTTCGATAATAGATCTGATACTCTGCTATTTTCGGTAACAGATCTGTTACTCTGCTAGTTTCGGTAACAACACCGGTGACTCTGGTTTTTTTTTTTCTGCCTAACAACTTCGGTGACTCTTCTATTCTGTTATTTTCAGTAACAGATCTGGGTTTTTTTTTTTTAAGTATTTTTGGGTTTAAGTATTTTGTTGAAAAGATCTTTTTTTGCCGAAACCATCACCCCTGGACTCTCCATTGTACCAAGCATTGTGTACGTCTTCCCAGCTCCCATTTCACCATAGCAGCAGACTGACCCATTCCTTCCCTGCAGAACTGCTTCCACAAGCTCTACTGTTCTGAAAAATATAATCATATTTGGTCAAGTTTATCTTTGTTTAAAAAGAATGAGCAGTTAATTAGCACGCTGGTATTCTCGAATTCATTTATCTAGTGTAACAGCGAATTATAACAACGAATTGTGATACCAAGTGTAAATGATTGTGTGTGTGTGTGTAAATGATATGGTTGTGTGTGTGTAAATGATAGTGAACTGAATTTATTATATTAGTCAAATTGCAAACCCACCAAGTTTCGAGCTAGGAAGCCATGAAGAAATTGTAGCTTTATGGCTTTGAGCTCTTATGATCTGGCTCTGTTATGTTCTTTGCTGCACTTCTATTGGGCAGTCAGTATTGCATGGTTGTTGGGTTAGTTGTGTTGTTTTGCTGCAGCCTTGCATGATGAGGATGGCCTTTCTGTTTTTACTGGTCTGCATTGCTTCTGCAGAACTGTTCTAGCTGGGTGATGTTGTACTGTGTTTTGCTCATGTTGTGCTCTTGTGAGTTGAGCTGACCAAAGGTGTAGGTGCAGTACTATGGTGTTAAAGGAAGTGATGCCAGTTAGCAGCTGGAGGTTTGATGCTGTTGTCTTCTTTCTGCTGAGTTGCTGAGCTGCTGTTGCTGAATGCTGCTGGTGTACTTCTGGAAGAGGAACTGGTCTGAAGCTGCAGTGATCAGTTAGAGCAGGTGCTGGAAAATAGTTGCTGTACAGGACATATTGTGGATAACAAAATTTTTTTTTCTGTTTTTTTTACAGTTACTGTGTTGTTTGTTTAACTGTTACTGTTTTGCTTAAACAATTTCAGTTTTTGCTTCTTGTAATTTTTGATTTTCATGCAATAAAATTTTTCTTTTTCTAAGAAATAAAGTTCATAAAAATTTTTTTAAAAAAATATTTATGTGTGATGTTCTGTTATGACTAGTGTTATGTGGATAAAATGGGATCCTCCTCCTGGGTCCATGTTGAAACTGAATGTTGATGGTGTTTGATGGAAGGTGGTCTTTTGCTTGACTGCTGTTAGCAGTAGTTGAAATTTAGCAGCTGGAGGATGCAGGTTCAGGTTTGGGCAATTTGTAGGCAGTCTGTGTTTTGCTCAGCTGCTTCATGGGCTGTTGAAAGGTGCTTAGCTGGGGATGAGTTGATGATAGGTTTGTATTAGCAGTGGTTAAGCTGATGATTGTCTGCATTATGGGAGGAGTCAGTTTTCTGATCTGCCTGCTCATGTCTGTTGACTTGGTGTTTTGGCAATTGTTTGATTAAGGTCACCTAGCCCCTTTGGATGGTTTAAGTATGATTCTGGTTTGATCTATGATTCTGGTTTGATCTTCGGTGAGATGTTTGCTTGTTTATGTTGGTTTGTTTATTTGTTTCATTTATTGGCAGTTTTACCGAGGGAAATGAAGGTGACGAACTGAGTTTAGAGAAATTTCAGAAGCTGGGTTGGAGTTACAAGGCAGTTGAAGAAACTTTGGTGGATTCCGTTGAAAGCTACAAACAAGCTGGAATTCTGGAGTAGAAAGGATTGGCATTATATTATAGCTTTTGGAGGTTGACTGTCACCAAGCATTCTTGAAGTAAAAGTCTTGTTTTCCTTTCCAGTTGCAGTTTTCCTCTAATAACTTACGTATTTGCTTGTGTTTTGTTACTCTGTCTTGTTTGATCAACTGTTTCATGGGCACTTTTTCCCTGGAGCTACATTGACGTTGCTTTTGCTGTTTCAATGTCTTTTGGCCATTCATGTGAGTTGTGGCATGTTGCTATTGTTTTGTCATGAAGGAGCTCATGGAGTGTTTCTGATTTGCATGACTTGTAATCTCTGGTTCTGCACAGATCATATCTTGCTTTCCATTATGTGGCCTCTTAAATTGAGAAATGAATCATCAACTCACGAGTATTATTTCAGAGACTTCAAGGTTGAAGTAGGCTCATTCTTTTTCATTGGTTCCCAACATAGCAGCGTAGGTATGTGAGGTGTGTTCAAGTAAGGAAAGCACAAGGTATGAGAGATCACTAGGATTTGGTCCCTCCATGGCATTTTCATGATTATTATTGTTGTTTTCTCTTCACATTTTTTCACAGTTTCTTGGACTGCATCAGTCACCTTTGTTAGTTTGATTAGAAAGAAAATAATAGTTGAAGGTGAAGTAGAAATAAAGAAAATAATAATAATATATATATTAGAACGAATAATGGTGTGTATTATAGTAGAACGTGTATTATGATTTTATGAGTACGATAAGCATTCATTTCGATAAGTATATTTGTGTATGTGTACAAACGAATTTTTTTACTATAGTATGATTTATGTTAGGTTTTATCAAATTAATAATTTGAAAACATTGTATATCAAACAGTCAATACAAACATCATTTCTATTTTCATTGTTTTCTGCGTTATTATCAAAATAAATTTTATTGTTTTTTGTTCTGTAAAATTGTTTTTGAAATTATATAACCGAACAAAGTTTTCGTCTCAGAAAACACAAAAACACACTCCTCTAAAACTCTTTTCACAAATTATTTTCGAATACTATTTTGAGATACAAATCAAATAGGTCCTATATTTTTATTTTTACAAGATAAATCTCCACAATTTGGAAAATAATGAAGAAAGGCTAGAATGAGAATCCCCTCTCAATAGATGAGAGGTACTACTTATACTAATGTCCTAGGAATAGGTAAGTAAGAGGTCTTCTCGAATTAGGGGTCCAAGTAGGTCACAGTACAGAGACAATATTCCACGATGTGTCCGAACAATTCTTCTCGTGTTCGGATAGTGAGAATTCACTGGAATTTGGAAATAAATAGGCTCGTACGGACGATAACAGCTGCGGTCGGATGGGTCTTCTAGGTGTCCGAACATCACTAATTTTCTAGAAAAAAACTATAATACTTGTGTCCGGACAATCATAGCTGCATCTGGACGGTCTTCTTGATTTTCGTAATTCAATTCCATCTTCGTAAAAAAGAATCAATCCAGTAATCATTAATCATTGCGTCCGAATGGTTAGACTTGCGTCTGAATGACACTACTTATCTGGCTCTCCTCGGTTTTTATGCTCCAACAATCTAGGACGGATATAGGTCTTCCATGGATATCCAACTTAATCCAAAACTGGGCCCATTGCTACAAGTTGCCATGTAGTCCTCCTTGGTTCGTTTTGCTCCTTCCCTCAATCATCCAATTTACCAAGTGTGGTAAATAATACTTCAATTCAACTGTCTTATCAGATAAATAGATCAAACAATAAAAACATAAGTCAAAATAGAAAACTCAATAATTCATCACATATAAGCGCAAATATTATGTAATTAGTCATTAATTACAACCTAACTTGAATATTACTAGTTCCTAGGAATACTTGGATCATAAATTAAAAACTAAAACTAAAACCTAATAAAATAAGAAACTAATTTAGGATTGTAGGTCTCACAGTTGTATTTAGTATATGCAACAAGCCTTTAAACCCCTAATTTTCTCCCAATGGACAAGTTTAGTCTCATGAATATTTTCAATGAAAATGCCTACAAACTTTCATTAATTTATTGATCCCTAAATTTTAACATATAATTTTAACCAAATATAAAGCAACAATATATTTTGTTGGAAATATACAACACTTCACATGTAAAATCTTTCCACTCAATGATACATAGGAAATCGCATGTTAGACCTAGAGAGGGGGTGAATAGGTTATTATAATTTAAGCTCAGATGGCAACTAATTTTAACATAAATCTACCTCAACTACCTCGTCAAATAATAATATGTAAATTAAGTGAGAAACCCTTTTCAAACACCGCAACCCAAAACACCCATGTAGATTAATGTATTGATTTTATCAATTTGTTGATTAACGCTTAATCTCACACAGCGATCCCAACTAAGCAACTATATGTTATATGTAGATTTAAATAATCAATTCATCAAACACATAGTGTCTGTGTGTCACAAGTGTATATGTAATAATATAAGTTATTTGTTGACATAGAGAACCGTCTCGAGAAAATCGTAGGGAAGATTCTCGGTTTATCAAAGTCTAAACCACTAAACCCAAAGTCAATGCACAAGTACTCAAGTCTTCTATCTCAATCAATCCACATGGCTAGATGCTCATTTCTTTAATTGATCTCTCCGTCGAAACTCCGTCTTCAACGTTATGAGTAGCTTCACTTAGATTCTCTACTACAATGGATCCTTTAGTCCTCGAGCAATCTTCAAGTCTTTATACCTAAGGCTCTCGGTTTGCACACTCTAATGGGTTTGGTCTTACCCAAGCAAGCTCTTCTTCTCCTAGTTGTGAGGTTGAATACGAATCACTAGATGGTTAGCCTTTGGGGTTAGGGATCTAGGGTTGTGGTTGAAGCTCTCAAAGTAGAAGATAAGATTTCTCTCTCAAAATACTCACAAGAGGCTTACCCTAGCTGGAAGAAAGGTTTTCCCTATATATATAGGCCTGAAATAATGATAATCTTGATCAACAAGAAAACTCAAATTCGTGATTAATCGTTTGATCAGTGGGAGGGCGGTTATAGGGCGGTGGTCCTGGGAACGAAAGATAAATTTCAAGTTAACCTAGGAAGAGTAGACTGTTTCAATAACCTTGGGACCGCTCAAGCGGCCTAAGGGCGATCCCTGCTTCTCATCCGTTTGTCCTATTGAGCACTATAAGGTGTTGCTTAAGAGGGGTTTGCTAATGACTCAACCCATGTTTTTAAAACAAAAATAGTTTGTAAAATCTTGTTGCTAAAAAGCACCTAGGAATAAATATTATGTCCAATTCTATTATAACTCTAATCCTCCTAAGTTAGTTAACAAGGGATCATCTTAGGTATCTGTGTCATTACTTTTGTCCTAAACTTGAAGATGCATTTGGAGTGTGAATGATGTACCTTCCTTAAATGATGCTTTCGAATGTTCAACTTTTATAGCATCCTGACCATGAAATAAGTTGAGATAAAAACAAGAATAAGTTCACACCAACTCAATTTATAAAATTAAAGGCTATCCAATATTATTCACATATTGAAGTCCCATTGAAAACTTGTGTGATGTGCAAATTGCGATGCATGATCATATAATTAGTCAAGAACAACTCACCCCTTCCACTATTTATGACTAACTTTGATGCAATCCTTAACAACGTATACACTCATCAATAATCAGATATGTCTTTTCTAAGGGTGTAATGGGGCATTGGGATTAAGCATTTAAATTGAAGGATATTTAGGAGTTCAAAACATTATCCCGAGAAAATAATACATTACACAACCTTACTCCTTGACAAACTTTCTCTCATAAGCCTTTAGAAGCACTATTCACAACACTTGCTCATAATCTTTTTTTTTTGAAATGCATTCTTGCTATTTTCTTCTCTTTATTTTATTTTATTTTATTTTATAGTATAAAATATATCTTTTTTTTTCAAGCAAGTAACAAATGTAAATATTTACAAATATGCAAAATTTCACCTTTCCCTTCAGTATTTCTCATGCAACCTCAAACCATTTTCATAAACAATAACAACTCAATCTTGGGATAACTAGGGTAAGACATATTATATCATATTCGTGACTTGGTTATTATATGTGGTATAAGAATTAAATTTTTATTTAAAAAGGCTCAATCACGGCTTCTAGAGATGATATATTCATACAAATAATAAGACTTAGACTCAAATTATATCCAAAATGACCTAAAATCATATCTCAAGAGTTCTTGGTAACATTGACTCAAGCAAGTATAATGAGACTATTCAAGGAACATAGCAAAATGAATATAGGAAAAATTTCATCCACACATCCTATAGTTAGGTTTAAATTCAATGACGGCCCCTCTCGATTCTAAAACTTTACTACACCCCATTCTGATTTATACTTTCAAATCAATGACACTCCCTTAATGGTAATTTTTGCCTCTATCAGTAGATAATATTTTATGAAAATACCAAAATTACCATTTGTTATGTAAATAGACTAAAATGCCCTAAATCTTTTCCCCATTATATATGCACTAGCCAGCCATCAAACATAGTTTATATCATTATATTATCCCAATGAATTTTTATTTTAAAGTATTGCATGATAACTTTGTTATAAGATTAGTCATCATATTATCACTCATTTAGTTACATAATTAATTTTTTATAATTTTTATAGTTAAACATGATTTTTCTATAATAAAAGTTACAATTGATAAAATCAATGTCAAAATCTCGTCCATTTCTAACTCCTCTGCTATCAATTTGTCCTCCACAACGTCACTCGATTACTCTTCACACATTACCCTTCATATATAAAATTTTAAAATTATTTGATAATATTTAATATTAATTGTATAAATTTAGTTTTAATTTTGATAAATTTAAATATTAATTTGGTGTTAATTTGATAAAATTAAATATTGATTTAGTATTGATTCGATAAAATTTATTGTTAATTGAATAAATTTGAATGTTTATTTGGTGTTAAATTACATAAATAACATTAATTTGATAAGGTTAAATGTTAAATGTTAA